GATAATGTTATAAATTCTCTAAACGCTTGATTGAGAACAATTTAAATAGTTGACTATAAATTTTCACCGTGTTGATGTAAGTCAGATTGATGCCTTGTAGATTTTTTTATTTTGGAATATCACGTAAACATCCCATCTTAAAGCAAATTCCAAGCATAAAACAGTGAGAAAAAGTATTTTTAAACAATCGTCTGCAATACATGTAAAACTCTCTTAAGCTTCTCGCTAATTTTTAAAAACGAATATTATCATAATATATTCAGATGTAACAATAATTTTTTTAATTTTCCTTTTTTTTAAAAAATGAGCAAATTTTAAGAAAGTGTCAAAATTTGTTTGAAAATAAGTCCCTCACAAAAATATTGTTTGCTTACATGTATTATATAATACTTAATATAAAGTGTATATTAAGTGGAAAATAATATATTTTCATCTGATGATAAAAATGAATTATTCTAATATTTTGAATCTGAATCGTACAAGGCAGACTCAGAATACGAGAAATAGAGCGTGATATTTTAAATCCTCTGTCCATTTCTTCTGAGAAAATTATACCAATAGAATTTTGCAATTAGCATTTTTAAAAGAAGCTAAAGTATTCATTTGTCTGCTTTTAGATTTTTAATAAATACACGCATTGTCATAAAAATTAGCGCATCAAGAAAAAGAAATCAGAATAAAACCAAGATCTACGTACTTAAATACAACGTTGATATAAGTATGTGATTAAAAAATTCAAAGCAAAATGATCATTTACTGCAGGAAAAAATACAAATGAATGGAGGGGTCCCTCTCTATCGTGAATGCAGGATGGGATACAGCCGGGCATTGAGGCATGCTAGTCCCTTATGATGTCTGTCCTGTGGTAACTCAGTCATAGTTGCTGCAAAAACACAGCTAAATCGACTAAACTCAGAGGCTTTCCATATTGTCAGCCCAAATGGTGCCAGATATCTTCGTTCAGGGACAAATGTGGGAGTGAGTAGGCCAAGGAAGGGTGGTAATGTGGCGGATACTCTTGCTATATTGATCGAGTATTGAACTTTAGAAAAAAGGAGCCTTGCATTGAGTGTCATCATATGTAGCTGGAGGATGTCACGAACATACCTTTGGGCTGTCATGACGCCGTTTTTTAATATTAGCGGTGATCGTGTGAGTATGCGATAGCCCCCGTACCATCACCCAAAACGTAAAAGCGATGTGCTGCTGTACAGCAGAGGCAGGATTGATTTCCATTCACCCTCCGTTTAAAGTGGTTTCGCTCGACAAGATTAGACTGCAACTGAATGGAATCAGAACGTCTTCAGTGATGAATCCAGATTAAAATTGGTCGGTGATATCCATCGTGTACGAGTATGGAGGTGAACTCTTTAGTCCTGTCGTTACTGTACAGGAGCATACAGCTTCAACAGCTGATATAATAGTATGAGGTGCCATCGGAAATGACACACGATCACCTTTAATACTGATCCATGTCACAATGACAGCCCAGCGGTACGTTCGTGTCCTCCTTCAACCATATATATTGTCACCCGTGATAAGGTTCCAAGAAGCCATTTCTTAACAAGAAAATGCTCGTCCAAACACAGAAAGGATGTCACAAGAATGCCTCAGACACCTTGCCATCTTTCTGTGGCCTGCTTGGTCCCCAGATTTATTATCAAACGAGCACCACTGAGACCACTTGGGACAGCAAGTTAGACAGCCTCCAAGTTTAGTAGATCGGTGTTTTTACCACAACTGTGGAACAAAGTGCCGCAGGTCATCATAAGGTATTTGCAGGCCTCGACCGTATCGCATCCAGCGTTCGCGTTGACTGTGGTCCAAGAGGATATTTAAACCTCCATTCATTTGCATTTTTTTCCTGCAATAAATAATAATTTTGCTTTGATTTCTTAATCTCTTACTTTTATCAAGGTTGTACTTGTGTACAAGGTAAAATTTCGTTTAATTTTGACAACTCTTTCTAGATGCACTAATTTTTATCCCAATGAATGTATCTTCATTTTTGGTTAAAAGAAATTTTTAGCTTTATTCTAAATCGGTTTTTTATCAGTTTAAACAATAATATAAATGTTAAAAAATCTAAAAACACGCAAATGTAGAGTATTAAATTATTTACTCTAAACCACTTAGTACATAACTTTATTATTTGCATTTTTAAGAAGAAATCCACCAAAGTTCTAAAAATTATCAAGCTCTTTTTCTCCTACTTTAATAAAGCGATGCCTATATTTTTGACCGGTTTCGAAAGTGTAAGCGCAATTGTAAATTATGAGTGGCAACAGTGATTATTTAGTTCGAATGCAAGCACCTTGGTGACCGTAAGCGCATATTTATTGTAAAAATGAAGAATGGCTACAGCGGTTATGTTTTAGTTTCAGTTTCATTTTTGTGATGTAAAGATTATTATTTTCTAGAACGTAGATACGAAATGTACGTGAATGTAGTAAGTTACGAGTGTACTTATATTATCAATAAATATTGTTTTTGTTTTCTATAAAGACTTTATTAATGTTAATTCAACAACATACGAAGACAACAAAATCAGAAGTGGGATTCATTCGAAACGTTTTACATCGTCAGAAAGTTTACCGTGAGTACAAAATGGCTATTTTCGTTAATGCAAGAAAATGCGATTTAAATATATTAGCTGAAGAACTGGGGGAAGATGTTAATGATACTCATAAAATAAGCGATTGAAAAAGGATAATTTTGATAAGCAAAGAATATGATGAAGATAGTGTCAAAGAATGGTTGAAAACTATAATAAGTGAAAGAAAGGAAAAGGAAGAAGAACGTAAATGCCAAGAAGAAATTGAAGAACGTAAACGACAAGAAGAAATTGAAGAACGCAAACAAGACGAGGTAAGAAAAATTGAAATGGAACTTGAATTACAAAAATTACACATTGAATGAGAGAATAGCTCAGCTAATTCCGTCACCAATCAAAATATTACTAGTACACCAATAAAATCAAGATTAGAACTTCATCATTTGATTCAAAAATTTAACCCTGATGAAAATGATGTCAGTTTATATTTAATTATGTTTGCACGTTTGGCTAAACAGGCAGATATATTCGAAAATTCTTGCGTTACTCACTTGCTTGGCTTACTTCCTAACGACGTAGCTCAATTAATTGCCAGAGAAACAGAAGAAATTGCAAACCATTATAAAAAAGTTAAGCAGATTTTATTAAAGCGGTTTAAATTAACGCCTGAAAAATTTCGCCAAAAGTTTTTCATGCATCATAAAAATGTAGGAAGTTCATGGAAAAATTTTGCCTGCGAATTAAAAAGTTTTTTTAACGAATGGATAAATGGAGTTAAAGTAGATAGTTTTGAAAAGTTGAGAGATCTTATTATAGTGGATCAGATAAAACGTAAAGTGTCGCAAGAAGTAAAAGATAATTTTATTGATGATTGGTCTAGGTTCATTAATCCAGATGATTTAGTAGAAAAACTGGATGATTATGAAATTTTGAGATCAACTTACAAGAATAAACAACCGCGTAAGGAAGGATTTTTCGACAAACGGAACTCCATTAAAGATGATACAATTGCTACGTACAGCGAAAAGAAAAAATTATACCGTATAACACATATGAAAGAGGTGAGCCAAAATGCTTCAACTGTAACAATTTTGGACATATTTCTAAGGACTGCCCGTTACCAAAACCAGTTATAATTTGTCGAAAATGCAATAGAACAGGTCACATAGCCAAAAATTGCTTTTCTAAAGCTGAAGGTAATTGTTCAAGAGATAAAAGTTTATTTGTTACGCAAGGCGAAAATACCGAAGAGAGTGCTTCATACTTGAAAAAGGCAAAACGTAATAATCGTGACGAAGTACAGGCTTTAATTGATACCGGCAGTTCTTACTGTCTTCTTAAGATGTGAGTTGCTCAGAAACTTGAACTGAAACTTGAACCTGCTATCAATGAATTGTATGTTTTTGGAAATCAAAAGGTTCCTGCAGTAACCACTATTGCAAAGATTGAAGCTGATATTGATGTCGATAATGTAAAAGGCAAAGGAATAAGTATTTATGTTGTTCCTGATAATGCGCAGCCAGTTGATCTAATTATCGGACGAACATGGCCTGACCTACCATACATCGCTTATGCAGAATAGGAAAAAGATTTCATATCGGATATCGGGAAGTTAAAGTTCTTGAGGCACCTGAATTACAGAAATATAGAGTCAATCTAATTAGATCTCAAGCAGAGGATATCGAAAATGGACTAATTATGATGGAGAATCCTTCCGAAGACTTTGGCTGTTTACTGGAGGTTAAAAATGGAAAAACGAGCATTCCTTTGGCAAATATCGGGCACAGAAATGTCAGGCTTTCAAGAGGTCAATGTGATGGAAGGGCAGAAGTTGTTGAATTGTGCTCAGTAGTAGAATTTAAAGAAAATGTCTTAAGTTCATCTAGCAGTAATAGTTCAAAAGAAAAAGCTCCTACTAAATTGAGCGACATGATAGTTGACTCTAATATTGATAATGAACAGAAGCAAGAATTGCTCCAACTATTGAATGAATATAGAGATTGTTTTGCCATGGACATTTCTGAGCTAGGGTGTACTAACTTAACAGAAATGGATATTAGAGAAGTTGAAGGGTCAAAGCCCATTTGAATGAAACCATATAAAGTGAATGCTCCTGAAAGAACAGCTATTAAAGAAATTGTAGGTGAATGGAAAGAAAATGGAATAGTGTCCGAAACAAGATCACCTTATGCAAGTCCTGTCATACTAGTTAAGAAGAAGACTGGTGAGAACCGACTAGTGGTTGACTACAGACGTCTTAACAGTCAAACTATAAAAGATAAGTTCCCATTGCCTAAAATCGATGATTTATTGGAGCAATTACGTGACTGCAATTATTTTACAACCTTAGACTTGGCGCATGGTTATCTACAAATACCCCTAACCGAAAAAGCAAAACTAAAAACAGCGTTTATAACTCCCAGATGAAACTGGACAGTTCGAGGGGATGATTTTCGGTTTAACTAATGCCCCAGCAGAATTTCAACGATTGATGTACCATGCATTAGGCCCGTTGTACAACAATGGTATATTATGCTATTTGGATGACATACTTGTTACAGCAAAAACGTGGGGAGAAATGATACGGAAGTTAACTGAAGTATTTAAAGCATTACTCTCCACAAATTTAACCCTGAAATTACCTAAATGTGAGTTTGGAAAGAAAGAAGTGGAGTATCTAGGATTTATTGTAAATAATAACGGAATGAAACCTGGATCAAGAAAAGTAGAAGCTATATCTACGTTTCCTCAACCTAAAAATGTACACGATGTAAGACGATTTCTTGGATTAACAAGTTTCTTTATAAGATTCATTCCAAACTATGCCATTAAAGCTCTATACTTAAGGCAGCTGACGAAAAAGAATGAAATTTTTAAATGGGAAAAAGACCAAGAAGAAGCTTTTGAAACCTTTAAACGTGAGTTAACGAATCAACCAATTTTGGCTCTTTATAATCCTGAAGCAAAAACTGAAGTTCACACCGATGCATTCGCAGATGGTTTAGCTGGTATGTTGCTTCAGCATGGAAACGATAACAAATGGCATTTAGTTTACTGTGTGAGTAAAAAGACGACAGAGACGGAAAATAAATATCATTCGAGTAAGCTGGAATTAATGGCAATTGTATGGACACTTGAACGACTTAGACAATTTTCGTTGGGCATCAGTTTTACTGTAGTTACGGTCAAGCTTTAATTTATATGAATGCTAAGAAATCAAATAACTCACAAATTGCACGTTGGAGTCTCCTCATTCAGGAATTTGATTTTGAAATTCGTCATAGGCCGGGTACTAAAATGTCTCACATCGATGCAATCAGTAGGGCTCCAGTTTTGAACCCTTCAGATACCCTGGGTTCTTTAATGGAAATTAAGTTGAAAGTTTGTTTAACATTGAGTGTCGAAGATCAAATACTTATGATACAGCATGCAGATAATACTTTGAAGGAATTGATTACGATTCTCAAGAAGGATGCAGAAAAGAGACCAAAGAAGAAAAACAAAAGACCTAGAATTATGTTTTTGAAGAGAAACAGACTGTTTCGTGTCATTTCGTTCATTTCGTGAAGGTGAAAAGGAAAAACTTCTTTTTGTCATACCAAAAAGCATGAGGAAAAGCATGGTTGTAAAATTTCACGACCTCATGGGACACTTTGCTGTAGATAAGACTGTGTCTAAAATCAAGGAGTTGTACTGGTTTCCTGCTATGAAGAGATACTATTACGAACTAGCCACTCCCTCTATCGGAGATCCACCGAAGCAGTAATAAAATGTAACCGTAACTCTTTACGCTTAGAACTGTTCTATGTTTATTTTTAGGCGAGGAGAAGTCCAAAGGGGCAACCGCTCCGATTCAAATTCATTATGCAAATTCCCCTGTAATTTTTCTGTAAATAGTCTTTTTTATAACTAATTAAACTCCTATTCTTATGCTAACCATTTCAGTTTTTATTGAATTTCATCATTTATTAGAAGAAAGACGGCCTCAAGAAGTTATTAGGTCAGACCCGGACAATTACGAACAGTAGGAAGGTAAGCTTTTTTACCTTAATATTATTATTATTAGTTTGAGAAGAAGCGAGGTTATTTTACAGATACGTTCGTCGCCATACATCGATGTGCTTCGAATGTTTAGTAAGCAAAGTTCCAGATGGGAAGAAACAAGGCCTTCTCCATACTATTCCGCCAGGAAAAAGACCATTTGCAATAGTACATCTTGATCACTCAGGTCCCTTTGTAATCAATTTCAAAAGAAATAAAGAATTACTTGTTATTATTGATAACATGACAAGATTTGTACATCTCTATCCTGTGAAAGACACGTCGTCTAAGAGTGTTTTGAAATCAGTGAAGAATACTTCGTTGAAGATTTTGGATTACCGAATCGCTTCATATCGGATAGAGGTTCCTGTTTCACTTCACTGGATTTTCAAAGATATTGCAACGAAAATGGCATCTTGCACACATTGAATTCTACCTCCCATCTTCAAGCAAATGGAATGGTTGAGAGAACAAATCGAACAATATTGTCCACCATAGTTACGTCGATTGAAAAAGCGGATCAAAAGGATTGGGACAGTAGGATTAAGGAAGTCGAAAGAAACTTGAGCAACACCATGAACAAAACTCTTGGGAAAATGCCTTTTGAAATTCTTCATGGCTATATACCAAGATTTAAGGATGGAATTATAAGGTTGTTTGCTGATGAAGAGGTTGAAAAATGGAATTATCCAAGGAAGCTACAACTCGAAACAAGAGAAAAAATTGAAAAAGAGCAAGAGAAAGTTAAAGCACATTATGACAAAAAGAAATCTGGAACACTAGCGTTTGATAACGGCGAAATCGTTGTAGTCAGAAGACATCCAAGGGTGACAGGGCGGTCAACGAAAACTCAACCACGGTATCGAGGACCTATGGTTGTCACAGAAGTACTTCCTAGCGATACATATAGAATCTCTCAATTAGAGGCTAATTTTATACAACGGTCGCCTATCAGTCAATTAACGGCTCATGTCTGTCAATTAAAAGCTTGGAGAAGCTGTAATGAAGATTGATTATGATAATTTCAGCGAAGATTCTGATGAAGAACCCAGAAGGCAAATGCCCAAACGAACTGTACGTAAGCCACTGAGTTATAATGATTTTATAAACTGTTAGAAACTTATCAATATTTCATATTATTAGTCCAGTTAATTTTATTGTAATGTATTTTAAAGTTTAGTTCAATTGAGGTCAATTTAAAGGTCATTATGGTCGAATGTAAGCGCAATTGCAAATTATGAATGGCAGCAGCGATTATTTAGTTCGAATGTAAGAGCCTTGGCCACCGTAAGCGCATATATATTGTAAAAACAAAGAAGGGCAACAGCGGGTATGTTTCAGTTTCGTTTTTGTGACGTGAAGATTATTTTGTAGAACGTAGATACGAAATGCACATGAATGTAGTAAGTTACGAGTGTACTTATATTATCAATAAATATTGTTTTTGTTTTCTATAAAGACTTTATTAATGTTAATTCAATAACATACGAAGCCAACAAGAGGTATGGTTGGTTAAATGACTGTAAATAATAAAAAGGTTCTAAATTCTGTACGGAATCTTCATCCGGTTTATCCCTCCGCTTCTGTTATATTTATGAGTTGATGTGTCAACAGACTCGATATTTTAGGAAGTTTTATTATTTATTATGAAGATTGTTTTTGTGTTTAAATTTACACCTAATTTTATCATTCATAAGATATTCCTGAATTTTATAAATTATAAAAATGTCAGGAGTCATAAATCAATTTCAGGAAATCAATATCATGACATAAATCAAGTGTTAGGGTTAAACTCTATAATCCATGACCATGGCCAAAGTAAGCATTTGCACTGCCCTACAACACGGCGTTATCAATTAACCTGAAAGTCATTTTAAAATAATTTCGCTTTTCTTTTATCGCACATTGTATTTGAAGCCATTACAGTAAAAGGATAAAAATCTTTTCAATGAAATTGTAGGGTTCCATTCCACTTCACTAGATCGAAGGTAATACCGAACCTGCAGCCTGTCATCGAGAACATCCTGATTTTCCTTCTGCTTTCGAAAATTAGTTGTAACCGACTGCAAGATACAGATGTCATTTTTGTTATCGCGCACTTTTTCCAGCATATATAAACTCTGCAAAACCACAAAGTATCAAGGGGACTTTTTACGCGACATCAAAGTTTTCGAAGAAATCGTGACCTTGGCAATGTCATTATGGAATTTAAATCGCCTTATTACATTTTCAAGGATTCGCGCTGGTTTATTCAGAAGTAGTTGAGTTATGAACAAATTCTTGACATCGATTTTTTTTAGATCGGTTTTGCTGCCTTACTTTAATATAAAAACCGACTATTGAGAAAAATAATCGCAGGTTGACTTTAAAACTTACTGTGTTGATCGTAGTAATGTAGAATTATGTTTTCCGAAGCTTTTTCATGAAGTCAGTTGGCTAATAACTAGATTTTAGAGAGAGTGTTGTGACTAAAGAAAAGCCACGTTTAAGTTTTATTTCGAATTTTTATTATTTTCTGAATTTCACTTTTCCTTTTTTTTGTTAGATAACAAGCAAACATCCATGAATTTACACTAAGATGTTTAAAAACTCCCTCCTTATTTCAGGATTACCAAAAAACAGGTAAGCCACTTTTACTCTTTACCTTTTGGGGGCCATCTGGTCAAAATGACCAATCTCCTAGACTACCAGTGGTGCTCCAAGGAGCCCATAGAAGATATTTTGGCTCATGCTAAAAACAACGGCTCAGCAGACTTTTGGTTTAATATTGAAGCAAAAGAAAAATCTAGTGCTATACCTCAGACCTCACCAGTACGCCTTAAAGCAGACCTAAATGCTTCTGTACCGACAAAAAAAATTAAAAGTATTAGATTCCAAAAAAGTGGATCGCTCCTTATTCAATGTGACGACTTAGAAACTGCAAAATACATCTTAAAGATTAAACACAATCCTAGAGATTCCTGTAGCAGCTAAATGCCTTCTGGAATGTATTTCCTCCAAATTTATCCTCGGGAACTTTCCTGTTGAAACTTCGGTTTCGGACATTAGTCGGGAGTTCAATTTAGAAAACAAGACACAGGCTCTAGAAATTCGTCGGTTTTTAAAACAAGGGAAACCGACAACCACAATCTTTTTCAATATCTTAGGTACTGTTGTCCCTGAGAAAATCCGTCTCTGGTATCAATACTATGAGACTAAACTCTTCCAAGATAGCGTTACCTTATGCAAAAACTGCTGGAGTTTTGGCCACCCAGATAAATACTGTAAATCCCCAACCAGATGCCACAACTGTGGAGGCCTTTCCTCTGAACATCAGGGCCCATGCACTAGGGTCCAGTGCTGCAGATATTGTAACGGCAATCATAGTCCAATTCAGCGTGATTGTCCTGCATTTTTAAATTTTGAGAAACTAATGAGAATTAAGTCTACCCATCATGTTCCGATGAGTGAAGCTAGAAGAATAGCTTATTTGAAAAAGCCCTCATACGCAGAAATAACTCAGTCTGTGCCAGGAGAATACATTACCCGAGCAGAGTTAAAATCGGAACTTAACAAGTTCGCGGGTTCCATGCAATAGCCAGTCGAGAATACCTGCGCAAAACAAGTTTCTATACTGGCGGCCCAAATTGAGAATTTGACGGCCTCTATAAATAATATTCTTATCCCCTTATCCCCACGATAACTAACATCCAACGAAGCACCATCGCCCAGGGTGCAATCACAGAAAATAAAATCTCAACCTACTCGTCCGACTTCTCTCCAAAACGGGCAAAAAAGAAGAAGAAATCGAACACACACCCTACTTATGTGCAATTCACAACAAATCCTCTCCTAACAGCTGATCACCCTATAGTTCAAGATTTGCCTATGCCTATGGACAACTCCTTATCAATGCCTCTAATACCGCTGAATAACGATGAGGATGAATTGGTAATTACTCCTCACAATGGTTAGAAAATTTCCTTCCCAATATTGAGAAACCCTTCATCATAGTCGGACACCGAGCCCTCGGCTCTGTCTCGTGCTCCCAAACTGCTGATATCTTTCTCGACTGGATCCTAACAAATAATATTACTATTTTGAATACAAACACTCCCACCCACTTTGGCGGCCCACATCATCAACAGTCATTATTAGATCTTACCCTAGTTTCCCCTGAACTCTTCCAGAAATCTTCTTACTCTGTCTTCCCAGACCCTTTTGATAGTGACCATTTTCCAATTATAACCAAAGTTAAATTCTCCTTAAACAACCCTTGCATACCACGCCCGTACCTCCATTTGCAAAACGCACAAAATGAAATCGCTCAAGCTCTGTCAAATAATAATTCAACGCAAAGAACATGGAAGATACTTGTAATTCCGTAGTCAAAGATAATACCCGATTTACAAAATTTTCCCCGCATCCCACAACTCCGTGGAGGGATAAAAAATGCGCATTTCTGCTAGGTCAAAAGCGCAAATTTTTGCGTAAGGCTAAAAAACAAGTCTCATCCTCATTTTGGCTTAAATACAAACACTACTCCGCTCAACTCCGCCAATACATTAAAATCAGAAAACGAATCTATTGGGACAAAATTTGTTCCAATTTAGGTTCCTCAAAAAACATTTTTAAAATCTTGAAAAGTATCTCAACTCGAAATTCCTCTGATCCCTCCGAAAACTTGATTTTAACCCACCAAGCGACAGCTATCACCTGCCCACTCGACCAAGCGAACCTTTTTGGGGAGCACCTTTTTCATGCTCAAAGCCCCTGCCCAATCCCTTTCTCATTCTGGGGTACAGGCTACAACCACTTGGGTGCCCCTTTCTCGTCTACCGAACTGGAAGCAGCTATTCATCGAACAAAGAACACGGCACCCGGGCCAGAACGCATTCCGGCTATTCTCATTAAATTTATTCACTCCCGTTACCCAGCTAAGCTCCTTAACTTCTTTAATGTCGTTCAAGATACAGCCCAACCCCCAAGTTCATGGACCCAAGCAAAAATCGTTCCGATCTTAAAACCAGGAAAAAACCCATCAGAAATTCTCAACTTCAGACCTATTGCTCTCACCTCGACTTTCGCCAAGGTCTACGAACGTATGCTTTTACAAAGGCTCCTTAATTTTAGCCTTCAACAAAATATCTTCCCCCCTCCCACACTGGCTTCCTCCCTTTTCGTGACTGTAATACAACTCACTCAATACTCTACCATGACATACGAGAAGCACGTGAACGGAGAAAATTTATTGTTTGTGTTGCACTCGATCTAGTCGCGGCATACGACAACGTATGGATTGATGGTCTCCTCACTAAACTCCTCTCGGTCGGCATATCTGGAAAAACAGCGCTTTTCTTACAAAACTCTCTCTCCAATAGAACCTTCTACATCTCCTGGCGCAACACCCGGTCTAAAGATTTCCAGCAACCCCAGGGCCTCCCGCAGGGCAGTGTCCTCTCCCCCCTTCTTTTTGTGTTTTACTTTAAAGACATTCACAAACACCTTCCCACTGGAGTTCAAATTCTTGTATTCGCTGACGACATCTACATTTACTATGCTGCAAAGTCTTTTGACAGGGTTATTGCTAAACTTCAAGATGCCCTCATCACCATTCAAACTTGCTGCACAGAGTGGAAAATGGCTATTTCACCTTCAAAAAGAGCAACTATTAATTTCTCTAACAAACGTCTCTCACCTACGATTCAGTTAACAATTTTTAACGAACGAATTCCCCAAGTTAATGCCATCAAAATTCTCGGCATCCATTACACTGCAAACATTTCCTTCCTCTGTCATTTTCAATACCTAAAAAAGAAATGTTTAAAAAAAATTAATGCACTCCGCTGCATCTCTAGCACTCAGTGGGGGTCTCGAACCTACCACCTCATTCAGATTGTAAATGTCACAATCAGAAGTATCTTAGAGTATGGCAGCCCAATCCTCTTCTCTGCGCAAAAATCACATCTCCGAGTAATTGAAACAATCTACAACTCTAGCCTCCGCGCAGCAAACGGGCCTCCCACGATGGACT